TCAACACCCAGTTGGCTCAGTTCCGAAGAGAACAAATCAAGCCTGCTTTAAAGCAGGAATACTCTACCATCTGTAGTGCTGAAGTACCTCTGACTAGCCAATATTTATTCGGGGATGAGCTTGCCAAACAGCTGCGGGATGCTAGGGAATCTAGCAAAATTACCCACTCTGTGGGTCACTCTTCATAGCGACGCCCCTATACAGGGAACCACCGTTCTGGCCACCAGGAGCTTTATAATAAAGGGCCTAAAAGAGATTTTTTATGCAAAGGTCAGCACAGATCCCACAGAAAGAAAAAGCCTCAGATCAACGAAAAGAAATAGTTGACCAACTGTCAGCAATAAAAGATACGGTAAGTGATTTTCCTACATTTCTGCCCCGCCTTTTAAGTTATTTACATGACTGTTGCCACAACTTTAAGGTGGGGCGAGTCGATGCTCATTTTGCAGCCTGGAAAGATCTTACTAATGATCGTGTAATTTTGTCTGATGTTTTGGGAGCCAGTATTGAATTGTCTGCCAACCCTATTCAACACAGGCTTCCTGGCCACGTTTTTAACGATCACGAATATTCTGTTGTTCACCAGGAAATACAAAAATTGATCCAAAAAGGTGTTATCATGAAAGTGAAATACTCTCCGGGTCAGATTGTATCAGGAATTTTCTTGCTTCCCAAGAAAGATGGAACTTTTAGGCTCATACTTAACCTCAAAAGTTTTAATGAGTTTGTGACGCATCATCATTTTCTGGTTAGTTTGAAATGCCTGGACCTGAATAGCGACGTGCAGTGTGTGTATTTTTTGGCTGATTATGATTTCCTGATTTGTTTTGATGCTAGAACTGTCAGCTAGATTAGAGAATACGCGGCAATGCATCTGCAGCGATTGCAAGAAACTGGAAAACCATTCGGCAAATTTACAAACACATTTTGGCGTCGAAGGAATTCTTTCAAAACATATTTTTTGTTCAGAAGAAGGCTTCCAATTCGAACTGCTCTTTCATTGTTTATCTTCACTAGTCTGCACCCAACCGTCACACAAACGTTAGAATTAGGCCAATCGTGAGACGCATAAAAAACCCACCTATCAGAAAAGCTCACATATATCCTTGCGACTTTGCGCGATCGATAGTTCATAACTTTGATAAAAGTTCCCCGGCATGGACCAAGCTTGAAAGAGTATTAATGGGTTTATTTTGAGCTTTTCGTCTAGCTTCGATCAGTTTAAGACTTAATTTTACACGGAAATTAAAAAAAAAAAAACGAAAAAGTCATCCTCGAAAACTGTCAATCACCACAGGGAAGGAAAAATATATACCTCTTTTAAACTTGAAATATTTTAGCTTTTACCGAGGTGGTCCAGTGGATAGAGGCGTTAACTTTTAGTTCTTACTGATTCTGAGGGTCCGAATCCCCTTGAAGCAAATTTCTTGTAACCTTATTATTTTTTTCTTTTCAGTTAAAATCTCTTTTTACCGTCTCTTTTTTACCTGTGTGGTGCATATAGCTAGTAACATAATGTGGTAGATTAAAAGCAAAGTTTACAGGAATATAAAAAAGGTGGTCTGTATCATAGCGAATCTACCGGTATTTTTAGTAAATAAATACTGGACACTGTTATCATGCATCACCCAGCTTAATCGTCGATTTAATTTTCAATTTTAGCAAAAATCACGCACGTAGAAGGCAGAAATAGAGAGATACAGATAAGTTCTATATTTAGATAAGACCTTAAAGTCTGCAAATATTTTGTCAGAAGTCATCGCGTGGTCTTGTTTGTAAGGTTTAAGATAGCGCGGTGAATAAAATACTTAGTCTAGTCGATTTGCTTTGGAAATGATTTTCTTCTCTCAATCACCTGAAATGAAAGCTTTAAAATGTATAAAACTCGATGGACTTTTTTCTCTTTGCTCTACCTGAACAATGAATTGAGGCGTAGCTGATTCCTTTTGGGTTTTGAAGCAGTGTGCAAAGTCCTGCTTGCATGTTACCGGATCGATCCCCTCCGTTCAAGCATTTCTGGTCAAAACAAAAGTCTGAACATGACCTTTCATCTGAAGAAAAAATACCGAAAAAGAGCAAATATTAACAGAGAATTATTTCGACCGAAGTAAGAGCCGTAACGGTTATATATCTGACTCTATTTATTTTTTTAAATTCTGTTTTATCAAACGGAGTAGCTGTTTTATGATATTTTTGCGCTCTGATTCCAGAGACACTAGATTTCAAAGGCTTACGACAATTCCTCTGTAAGCTTTGGGCAAGTTCGATTGATATAGCAGTGAGATAAATGTTTTAACTATGAATGTTTAATGTTTGCTTTCGGGATCACGAGTTTTGAACATGATCGATCGAATTGACATATAAAATCATAAATGTAATATTTCTAATCCATTCCCTCGCGAGGGATAATTTACGACAAAATCAGTCAGAACAATCACTGAAGATATCGGTTTGTCTATATGCTTCGAAAAAACGAAAATTCAAAAAAAAAAACAAGGCC